GCTTCACTCTTCTTTCAAAGCAGAGAAAGGGGTTGGGGGGCACTGGAGCTCCTCCCCGCCCTATGTGTTGGCCACCATCAGCTCGGCTCACCCCTGACCGGTGTGACCTGTAGCGCTGCCTGGGTCCAGCCCCCGTGGTGGCCCCAGGCTGCTGAACAGCTACAGTGTCACCATCTTTTCTGGCCTCGGTCTTCAGGCGAGGGTGCTGGCCAGGGAGTGACTGGGCCTTCTCACCGTAGCCCTCAGGCAGCTCAGGGGACTGGTGGCCATGCGGGCGGTTCTGCGGCGTCTGCAGAGACCCTCGGACCTCGGGATTCCGTAGCCGCTGCACCTGAAGCCTCTGCTCGTGGCTCGGGGACTCGGCAAAGCCGCAGGTGCCTCCCCCTGCAGCAGCACCCGGGCCGTCTGTGTACGGGGCCGGCTCCTCCAGGAAGCAGCTAAGTGGCCGCCCTGGGCCCGAGTCCTCGTAGACTGTTCTGGAAGGGAGAAGGTGACCCCAGGTCAGAACAGAGAGCTAACAGGGCACCACCATGCCCTCTGGCTTTCCTTTGGCAAAGGCCCCACATGCCTTTCATACAACTGGCCTTGGTCCCATTCAAATGTGAGAAGACAGGTGAGCATGTGCCCAATGGAGCTGCCTGAAAGTGTCCCCAGGACCACTGTGGGGGGCTCAGCCCAGGGGAGGCAAGGGGCAGGGCGGACAACAGAGAAAGGCCTAGTGTGGAGCTCAGAGTTCATCAGCGAACTGTTCTGTTTCTCCCTCAGAAGCCATTGGCATGACAGATGCAGCCCCTCTCAGCTCCCGCCAAGCCCTGGGAGTCTCATAGGCATGTCTAGGTAGAAATGCCCCAAGCAGCGCAATGTAAACACTCTCTCTGCGATATCAAATCCCAGTCCCAGCACAAGGCCTGCTTCCCTCTGCTCCCCTAGAGGACACTGGAAACTCCCTCGTCTCGGGGGCCTGAAAGGGGGGGCACATTCCTCTGCTCCCTGTATCTCCCAGGAGAGGGCTGAGTGATTCAGGTTCCGTTGGGGACAAGATGATTTCAAGGGGGAGCGTTTTCGACTCCCATGGGGCAGTGAGTGTGTTTGGTGAGTGACAGGCCAGTTTGAGCATTCCTTCTTCCCCGAGAGTCACTTCCTCTCACGATGACTGGGGGACATGGGGATGCCACAGGAAAGGCCAATTAGATGCTGGCTGTCCGCCCACCCCACCCCACTTCAGCAGTCTCCAGAATAGCACTCTCTCCAAGACCCCCTTAAAGGTGACCCAAGAGTAGTCTCGGGGGTTTTACAGTGGTTCTCTCCCCACTAAATGTTATCCTGAACCCATGGTTTCTTCATAAATTGGGTGTTGCGTCCACTGCAGTCAGATGTCTTAGTGATGCCCCGGCGCACCAGCTCTACACTGGACGGTTTGACTGAGGCATCTTGGCACAGCCCAGTGGTCCATGGAGCTTCCCTTTGAACCCGGACATGGGCCGGCAGCCCACCCCCCAGCCGTACATACCCTTCATTGTCCAACAGTCCTCTGCAGTCCACCACAGAGCCACCGCCTGTGCCGCTTCTGTCTCGTGTCTGTAAACTAACTGGAACAGGAGAGAATGCCTTCCATGAGAACCTGGCAGCAATTCACACAACTGTGAGACAGCGAGCCACTGCACATTCAGAACTGGCGCACGTTATTCTTGGAGCTACAGAATCACTATGTGTTGACATTGACTCATGGCAGTGCATTTGGGTTCTGATCCTAAGCACAGCAGGCAGGTGTGTATACACAGGGTCTCTCGTGCACACGCACACTCCTGGACTTTCCAGCCACAGTGGTCATGTGGGATAGGAGGGGCACTAGGCTTCTCGTGCTGCCCACAGAAATGACAATGCAATATTCGGTTCCTCTCAGTAACCCTCTCTTTAAAGAGGGCTGTTGGTGCTGGCAGGGGTCACCTGGCTCTGAATGCACTCTATCCCTTCTACCGACACTGGACACAAGAAGTCCTCCCCCGACACGTCCCTCCACAAGGAGGAGAGGATCGCCAGAGAAAGCACTAGTCGAGATCGTGTGCAGCATCAGAGTTTCCTGGCTGTCTCCCACAGCTCATTTATGTTGGGTCAAGTCCATGTAAGCCAATCCCTGTACCATCTGTAGAAAGAGACTTTGTGGGCTGCAGGCCTGTGAGTCTTTGCAATGGCTCCAGTCAACACTTGACCATTCTAAGGGAGGCAGAGGGTCAGCTGCTTCACAGACCCCTCGCTCGCTCAGCGAGGCACCTCCAGTGAGCGCTTGGTAATGACGGGACCTTTTCTTTCTTATTCTAAAGAATGTAATCTTCTAAGTCTAACTCATATGGTATGGGCTGCTTCGAAACCCCTCTGCATTCACATACAGGATGGGCCTCTTCCACGAGACACAACTTCCTAGCTCCTGTGTAGGTGCCACCGCCCCCTGATCTACACTCGGTGACCAATGACCAACAATTAAGTGTCGCCAAAACACGAGGGTGAAAATTGTACCTGACCCTCCCCTTTCAGCTCCTTCCTCAACTGTGAATGGTGCGATGAAGGGAGACAGAAAACAAAACCCTCACAGCACGGAGTGCCCCAGGGCGTGCTCTGGCACTGGGGAGATGGCCTGGGGTGCCTGCTCCTTCCAACACGTCCTCCTCAGCAGGGCCAGCCTGCGGGTTGGTACTCTCCCAGGGGGAGAAGGGCTGAGTGTCACGTTCTGGAAAAGTATCTCTTTAGACAGAGAAGAGAGTTCTTACCCACTATTTGGCCGCGAACTGCATCAGTATCTGAGGGATTTAGTTTGCATAGATCCAAACGCTGGTCTGCAAACAAATAATTCAAAACTTAACCCAGGGCAATGCCACCCAGAGGCAGGCGGGCTTCTGCAGCTGGCATTCACGGGAGGAAGGGCCCTCCTGAGCCTTCTGCAGGTGCAGGAAAGGGCAGGGAGGCGTTGGGCTCTTACATCCAGTGTCTTTTAACCTGCTGATAGCATTGGAGAGCAGCCGCACACAGCCCAGGAAGCCAGCGCCCTGTTTCTTGTGGATCTTCTTGTGGTTCCACACGCTGATGGTTAGAGAGTCCGTCTTCCCAACATACCTGAAAAGAACGGGCCAGCTGGGTTGGGGTTTGCTCCTGGCGGTGACATCTGATGGGGTCGGGGGTTAGCTGATAGGCAAGCAGCACAGAGGACGCCTTTTAAACTCAGGCTCTATAAGCCATTCCTGACAGACACCCAGCACGTGTCTCCTAATGCCAGTGGGTAGGGAAGAAGGTCTACAATCAGCTGTGAAAGGAACCCAGGAGATCACCCACCACATGAGGCGAGCATTCCAGTACGTAAGAAGTTTGCCACGTGGCAACATTAGTGACACATTCATCAATTCCCACCAATCAGATATAAACTACTACAACTCTATTACTTATCAACTCATCCATCCGGCAATGAGAGTATGCAAAAGGATGCCAGGACAACTAACCTTTCCACCCCTTTGTAATAGGCTACATTGTAACTTATTTATACTGCAAAACAACTTTTCATTGTGATTCACTAGAAGTTTGCAAAGCAAACTGGTCAGTGGCATTGCCGCCAGCCCTCGATGGGATGGTGCTCTGCCCAGGCCTGCCTTCCTTTTCCTGCCGTGGCACAGACTGCCTGCCCCCAAGTGATCCCTTATGGCTGCTTGTTCTCAGGGGTGGGGACCTCCCTGGCATGACTGTTCAACTTATCCTCCAGTGGCCTGTCGATCCTTCGGCCGAGAGTTGAGCTCATTCCCTTTTCAGTGCATGTCACCCACAGAGAGGAGCCGCGCATGAGAACTGACAACCCTTTTCCATGTCACTGGTGGCATGGAGGGTGACGCGTTCGGCAACGAGCCAGAGCCAGTGGTATGAAGCCACCAGTCGCTCTTCCGAAGAAAGAGAAGGCTGGCTGCGCCCGTGACTCACAACCTGGGGCACCCACAGGGTGGTCCCATTCTACCCGTGGGGTCACGACGAGGGGGGACCACCTTGGTCTCTGTTCACTCTGGGTAGGTCAGCTGATTCTGGAATTCCACAATGAACAATTCTGCCCAAATGTAGATTTTTAAAAAATAACCTCCATTCAGTATCAGTTGATCAACATTTTGTGGGTGGAACTTGAAAACAAGTATGATTATATATTTAAAGCAGTTTTCCAAGGACAATGTGATTTCCAAATGAACCGAAACTGTAAAATGATCTACAGGCTTCATAAAGCTCATGGGAAAACCCTGCCATCTCTCAATCCCCTTTTGCCTTGAACTTTCTGGAGCCCCGTCATATACATTCAAATCATGCAAAACTCCACTGCCTCCCATAGAAAACATGTTTTGTAGGAAACTTGTACAAATCTTAGGTAAAGTCTCTACAGTGAGGAAGAAACTAGGGTGTTAGGGGCAGGTACTAGGGCCTTCCCCCCACCCTTCCCATTGGCCAGGAGATTGGAAAGGCTGCTAATTGCTAAAACACTGCCAACCTAAAACAGAAAAAAGAAAAACACACAAATGGATGAAGATGTAGGCTCAGGCGGGGTGTCCCCCGAAGGGTCACTCACAGGTCGTAGTGCTGGTTCCACTTGGGGTCCAAGGTGTTTTTCACAGTGTCGGTTGAGTGGCACTGCCCGGAGCCATCCACGACGATCTTTGCGAAAGGGTCTGGCAGTCCTGGAGGAAAGGGCACAGTCAGGGCTGGGGGCCATCCGGCCATCAGTGGACACACACAATGGACAAGCTCACGGGGCCCTAAGTTCGACCCGACACAGGGTCACTGCCCCCCAGCTCTTTGAGAAAGGCTGCATGCCTTCACTCCCAGACGTTTCAGACAGAACGGAGAGAGAACAAAGCGACCAGACCAGCATAAGCTCAATTCCAACTCCAGTCTGATCATCTCTAAGTGGGGCCAGATCAGCGAAGATGCCGGGGCAGCATCCCAATGACTGCATTTCTCTACAGTGTGAATCTATTCAGCCAGGCTGAGGAAGGCCTGGCCATCTACTTCTGAAAACCAGTCAGCAAGACTCCCACGGCACACAATGGTCCAATCCGTAGGCAGTCACGAAGACAGCACAGGACGGGGCAGCCTTCTGTGGGCTGGCCCAATGGCAGCTCTCAGCAACCACCGTTTCTCCAAGGGAAAAAATCATTCACTCAAGTAGGAATGAGACTGGTCTGGATGTGAGCGGTGGCAAGGTAGAAAGTTCTGGAGGCAGACCTTGACTGGATGCCGGTTCTCAAAGCATCCCAGTTACTTGGGCAGTCTCTGGAACAAAGTCTACACTGTGGCTGACACCCCCGAAGCCCCGTGTGGCGCTGGCATGCCTGGGAGGACCAGGAAGCAGGTGCAAGCCTGACCAGGACAGACACTTCCTCCTGAGTGGGTGAATCCCTAAAGTGAAGGGGTGTTTGTCTCCTTTCTACAAGCGTGGCCTTACAAGCCATCTGAAATGTGGTTTGACTTATGAACTCTGACCCACAGTGTTACTCTCACAGTTATTGTGTAGAGGGGAAAAAGGAAAGGAGAAGATCCCGCCTGCAGTGAGCTGAGGAGCGCGTTCCCCGGCAGAAGACACACACGGGGTGCAACAGAGAGAGGCCCAAGACCCCAGGAAGGTCTTTCTCATCTGTGCTCTGAGCTCAGGAGCCCCTCCTATGTGGTGGTCCTCGGGGATTTCTCCTCAGAAAGGGCCGGAGCTTGCCAAGGGCACACCAGTGCTTCTTTACGAGCGTCAGCGGTCAGAAATATGGGAAGAGCATTCATAATGGCAGATAGCACCGAAAAAGAAAGGACGTTTACTTACTGAAGAAGTCTTTCTTTGCAAGGTTCTTGGCACATAAAACTAGAAAACAAACAGAAAGACTGGGGTTAGCATCTAACAAGATCCCTACACCACAGCTCGTCTCTATCTGCACCTGAGGCAGGGGTGTGGGTGTGCATTTTCAAAACACCCATCTTGTTACTGACCAGTAACCACCACGTGTCTCTTCTGCCCCTTGGAGGGTCAACTCTAACAAATACATGTTTTTGTTTCCTCTGAAAGCCTTACTCCAACACATGAGGATGGGTTGAGTTGCTAGCCTCAAGGCCAGCGGTTCGAAACTACCAGCTGCTCCTTGGGAGAACAAGCCTTTCTAAGCCCATCAAGAGATACAGTCTCAAAACCCACAAGCGCAGTTCTTTGCTATCCCAGAGTCTCCATGAGTTGGAATCAACTCGATGGTACTGAGCCTGATTTGTGCTTAACCAGCAGGGGGGCTGATGTGCTAATGTTCTGAATAATAACGCAGTTAAAATAAACAGAAGCTTCTGTTCTTGTTGGCAAGGGTGGCAAGATAGGGAGGGCGGCCCTCCATCTGAGTGTGGTGAAAACACGCAGGACAAGATGATCCTTGGTTGGTAGGGGGTTAGCAGTGCCGGCATAGAGACCGACTGCAATGATGCTTCCAATATGTTTTATTGACAAGGTGACTCCGGGGCCTGTGAAGGACTTTCAGCACCAAACAGCACAGTACTCTGTAGTGAGGCCCTCAGAGGAGCGCGGACTCCAAGGAGCTTCACCAACTTTGCTCCTTTTTGTGCCCAGATTGCTCTAGTATGAACCGTGACATGTGCAAGTTAACAAAACTAGGAGCATGTAATATGTACAGATCTGCACACTGTCCCCCGCTGGGTGCACTTCTTTGGCAGCTTTACTGGATGGTACGCAACACGCCCAACCATTTCCCCAGTGACAGTGTCATTCTCTGATCTGTAGTACAGTCACACAGCTGCGCCACACGCAATTCCAGAATGTTTTCATCACTCCCCAAAGTCACCCCGAAATGGGCCCGCCTCGTTTTATTGCATGTGGTTTGACCGTGCGTCCCAGACAGTGCTTTGTAAAATATCTACAAATGGACGTTTCGGGGCCGCCTGTGCTGAGCAAGTCTGCAGGCACCATGTTCCAACAGGGTGTGCTCATTGTGACTCAGCCCCAGCCGGGTCCTTCTCACGATCTTCCCGCCTCTCCTCACGCTCTACACCTCCCAGGTTACACTGCGGTGTCGACATCGCTTTCCTATGTTCTGGGAAACAAACCAAAAATCGGTGGGGCTTACTTTAGCGTGGGGGTCTGGGCCAAAACCCACTGCGTCCGAGGCCTGCCTGGTCCCATTACCAGTCTGCCCTCAACTTCTCCCCTACCCCAAGTCCTAGACAACCACCAAGCCGCCTTTCTGTCTCTCTGGATTTACCTGTTCTGGACAGTTCATATAAATGGAATTGTGTCATATGTGGTCTCTGGTGGCTTCTTCCACTTAGCACCACACTTTTGACATTCATGAATCAGCGCTTCCTGTTGTTTTTTTTATGATGGACTGATATATTCATACACCACAGGGTGTGTCTCCATTCATCAGCTGATGGCTTTTAAGTTGTTTCCACATTTAGGACCTAGTTAGTACATATTTATGCTGCATCCTGCTGAATCCAACTCCAGCCCCTAGCGCGTTCACGTTCCACGTGGATTCCTTTAGGTTTAATTTATCAAGCGTGTACGGTCATGATGTCTGCAAACAGAAGTCACCTGGGCTCCTTCCTTGTGATCCTTTGTTCCCTTCTCTTGCCTAACTGGCCAGGACCCATATGGAGGGAAGTGGCGGGCCTTTGTTTGAGTCCTGATCTTAGGAAGTATTCGGTCTTTCAACCATTGGGTGTTGGTGTTTCTGTAGGTTTTTCACTCAGGCACTTCATCAGACTACAGATGTGTCCTCCGACTGTAACTAGAAAACATTTCCTCCGAGTGCTGGATTCGTGCAGGGTTTGCCTGTGATCATGGAGACCATCACTTGACATCGTGTGCTTCTTTCCTTGGCCGTAAGGTGTGAACCCGACCTTGCATTCCTATTCATAGATTTCACTTGCTCGGGGTGTGTAACATTTTTATATCACTGGATCTTATTTGCTAGTATTTTGTTGAAGAATTTTGGAGAAAGATGAGGCTAGCAGCTCCCATAACAATTTATACCCTCACAAACCCTATAAAGCAGTGGTTCTCAACCTTCCTGACGCCACGACCCTTTAATGCAGTTCCTCCTGTGTGGTG